TGATATATGTCTGATTTCCCACAAACTGGAAGATATGCAAGCGAAAAGCAACGAGTTGGCTGAAGAAGCATCAAAGATAGGACTTCAGGTGAACATAGAGAAAACAGAGGTGATGAAGATTCTTGGGCAACACCACCAACAGCAACAACAACAGACAACAATCAGCATAAATGGAAAAAACCTGAAAGAAACAACCTCTTTTACCACCTACCTGGGAAGCATCGTTTCAACTACAGGCGGACAGAACTGAAAGGATATCAAAGCGAGAATCGGAAAAGCAAGACAAGCTTTCACTACTCTCAAGTCTGTGTGGAGGTCAACAACTCTCAGCATCAAAAATAAGATCGGGATTTTCAACTCCAATGTGAAGTCACTCAGTGCTACTATACGGATCAGAGACTTGCACTGCGCGTCATAAAGAGCATCTCAAACAAACTACAGGCCTTCATTAACAGTTGTCTTCGCTCAATACTCAAGATCAGATGGCCGACCAGAAAAGATGAGCAACAGAGATCTCTGGCAATGAGCGAACCAACACAGCAGGAACCGATTGTGAAACAGATAAGCAGGAAGAAATGGAGATGGATTAGCCATACTCTGAGGAAACAATGCATCAAGTGACATCACTAGACAGGCCATTGCTTGAGTGGAACCCGAAAGGGAAGCGGTGAGTTGGTTGTGAGTGCAAGGGTGACTTGGAGGAGGTGATGTGAAGAGGAGATGAAAACGTGTGGGCAGACATGGAGCCAGGTGAAGACTCTTGCTCGGCTGAAGTCCTATGTTCCTCTAGGTATTAAAGGAAACAATAATAATAATAATTACAGATAACTGAGGAGTCATGTGTGAATATCCATGAACTTGCAAGATTGAAGGGTGTCTATAGGAGTAAGGGATTCAAACTGATCCCCTGCTTGAAACTTGAGTAGAAATCTCTCCTATTTTTTGCTGACTACATGTGCATGAGTTAAGAAATCATCATTTTTATTCCCCACCAGTTTAAAACATCGATAACATATTTTGAATTAGTTGTGTGTTCTCTGAGCTGATTGGTGGTTTAATTGCAAAGCTTTCGTCCTCCTTCTGGACAACATCTCCTTTTAGCGCAGGTTTAGTATAAAATTAATACCTCTAAATTCTCCATAAACGATACAATTGTGTCTCCTGGCGTCGACTGTCGTGACCAGTTGTTGATTTACATTGTAGTGGACCTAGTGACTAAGTATGCCTATACGCGCAATTAAAAAGGACAGAACAAATACTAACAAATATGTATATATGAGATATTCAGTTCAGTTAAACTGCTACCTTGACGTGGTGGTCGGACTTGCATATCACAATGACCCAACTAGCTACACTGGCTGGAACTTATGTTCCTGTAGGTTCTACCATGCCAGAAAGGTTGTTTGGATAGCAGTTAGACAAAAAGCAGCTACCCAATCCAATACTATGGTTCAAACAAACTCACAAAATATCATACCGGATCGGTCGCGGCCCGGATTAACAAAGACCGCGCTTCCTGCTGCTGTGTCACAGGGCAGAAGTGATAAATATGCTACTGAGACACACCAAACAAGAAAATACAAACAAAAACAGGCCGCGTGTGACCGGCCTCAAGCAGTTGTCCCCTGGGCTCTGAGGTCACGCAACACTAACCTTTTCTCTCTCCCCTTCTGAGGCGTGAGGCTAGCAACCCCACCCTGCAAACAAAGCTGCTACAGAAACTTCAGCACGGCGAATCTCCTTGCGCCAAAAGAAAAAGTCTGTATGGGGACACGGAATGTCCGCACCATGTACGAGATTGGCAAAGCTGCCAAGATCGCAAACGAAATGAAAAGATACGGAATTCAATTACTGGGAATATGTGAAAGCAGATGGAACGGGAATGGACTCACCAAATTGTCAACGGGTGAGTCAGTGATCTACTCGGGTCACCCAGAGGATAACCACATGCACACTGAGGGCGTAGCTATCATGATGTCACCAACGGCAACGAAGGCCCTGATGCAATAAGTTAGTATAAACAAAAATACTGAAGTTATTTGAAAGAAAACTTTAATAGTCACAAAATACTCAAAATATAGACGTACGAAATAATAGGGATGAAATTGTCCTTTTCTTGATTATGCAAATCCTCAACTACACATTAGAGATGCCAACCGTCGGAGAGCTCCTGCGTAGAGAAAAGCAGGTTGGAGCAAAATATCTTAATGTGGATGTGTCGATCAGTGCGAGACAGAGTTGGTCGGCAGACGTGCTGAGTGAGCAGCTGGAGAGAGAAAAACAGATCCGTTCATTGCGCGCGGTCCAAGGTTGAGTCCTTTTCAATCCCACATAACAACCACGATTTTCATTGGACTCCTTATTTTTCGGTGAACGCATAATTTGATATGTTTTTCGGCAGCCACAACATCTCTGTTGATCATTCTGATTCACTCGGAATTCGAACTTTCTTGTCATGTGATTTACTTTTTATTAGCCGGTAAATTTGGTCTCTATTAATATTGTTTGTTAATCACTGATTCCCTTGACTACCAACCAGGTTTCTAAGAATTCCCTGACTGCACTTTTGGTGTTTCCTCTGTTTAAAATTTTGACATTATCCCAACCATCTAACTGATGTCCATAATTGTCTATATGCATTGATACTAAAGAATATATATGGTGTCTTTTCACAGCTAATTTGTGTTCTTGGATTCAGATTCAAATGGGACTTCCACTTTGACCGATCTAATGTCTGTTACAGTTCATACACGCAATTTATTTTGTAAACGGTATTAATTTTATCTTCTTTTCCTGTTGGATCTTTCAGTTTGCACAATATCGAATGAAGTGATTTGACTGGTTTGTGTGCTATGTCTAGTCCAAACGATCTTAATATTCTAGCTGTCGTTTCAGAGATATTTTATCTTAAATATCGTAGGATGAATTTTCTTGTGTTCTTTGATGATGATTTCTTGTTGGTGTTGTGACTCGAGTTTAAACACTTTTTGACGAAATTGTGAGGGAGATATCCATTCTTTCTGAAGACAGTTAGTAGGTATCTTTTCTCCATTCCCTTCAACATTGGAGTAGTGTTACAGTGTGTTTGAGCTATTTTTTAAACGATGTCTGCACACAGTTTTTTCTTGTGGACAACTGGGTTATTACTACTACTGTAGTTGAGTATTTGGCCTGTGTGCGTTGATTTTCTATGTACTTGTGTTTCTAGATTTCCTGTGTCAGTTCTCCTGATTAAGACATCTAAAAAATGGGATTTTGTTATCTAATGCTAATAATAAACAATAATAAACATTTTATCCCGAACAATAATGATCACACACAATGGAAGCTTTCGACATTAAGTAATCAGAAGAAAGAGTGGGTGGAGATACACAGTTACCAGGGCAAGGAAAGAGTGAAAATCGCTTCTTTCTGAAGGCCTAAATCGCCACACAGTAATTATATATATATATATATATACATAATAGTAAAACTTAGAACAACGCATAGAATCCAATAGCGCTGTTTTCAATTAGATCTCATCAGACTTAACTCTAACATACATAACTTTACAAATAAATATTCAAATATAAAACATTCAGCTGCTTAGGCCGAAATCCAGTTGCTGTTCTGACTCACAATGGGTTGAGATTGAAAAAGAGTCACTGAGTTCGTCACAGATGCGCTGATCACGAATACCGCCGCTTGATTACGCTAACAACATTAGACGACAGCTACTTCTTACTCCAGTCCGTACTACTTAAATGAGAATGCACAACCACTTGAGCCTCAAGGTATGTTTTACGCAATGATGCATAATTCAAAAAAATCACCAGGGATAGGTCAGCTAGTCTGAAATGATGATCAATAAAAAATATTGTCGTGGGCCAAATCCTGATTGGTTGATTTCTAGACTTGACATCGACCACCATATCCATTGCCCATGAATTCTGACTTCTGTTACGTCGCAACACTATAATGTATTCCAGCCCAAGTGGGACTGGATGGTGAACGAGCTTAAACTTATAACCCGAAAGTCGTGATTTTACTGCTTCGTGAATTTACAGTTACTTGTGTACTACTGAAGACACCGAAAGTGGGAAGAAACAGCTGTCCAGTACCCAATGCCTGGCATTTTCAATGATCTCTCACTAACTGGTATTTTGGTTTGTTATGAAATCTATTGATTGAAATTATTGTTAATTCCTATAAAAACTCAGAACCTAAATAATAATAATAGCAATAATAATTATTATTTATTTCACGTGAGACGACAAAAATCCGAAAACAATTTCCAGCAGTAAAACTCTGTTTTTGTTGTTTGTTTTTGTTATTGTCATTATTGTTATTATTTTGTTGTTGTTGTCATCGTTGTTATGGTTTTATTTTGTCCAGCATATGTGTGGTTGCGTGTATGTATGTGTGTGTGAGTTTGTAGGTCGTTGTATTTTTAATTCAGTTGATTGGTTAGATTGCTAGTTGACTGTTGATTGATTGGTTGGTTGGTTAACTGGTCGATAGGTTGGTTGGTTAGTTAGTTCGTTAAATTGTTTGTAGGTCTGATCTATTCTCTAGCCCTTCGAATAAACTGTACCACACACACATATACACACACACGAACAAGCACATGCTAGACACAACCAGTCCATCTAACCAAACAACAAACATACATACAAACCGAAATTGTCAACAATCTCACCCACTTGTTATTACTATTATTATTATCATAGAACAAACTGCCTTGAATATGATTGGTCAACGTCAAGGCTACAGATCATGAAATGAATGATTGACTGAATGCATGAATCAATCAGTAGCAGTCTGAATTTAAATTTTGAATGCCCGCCTTTCCTTTTTTTATAAATATAATATGAACCACCCAAAATACTGACACACCACCAACAACAACAACCACAGCAAAACGCTGATTCTTACTCCTAGTTGTGTTTTTTTTTAATCCAATCTGAATTGTATTAATTAAGCACTATCCAAGTGGAATAAAAGCTAAGCTTTAAAAGACAATGACCTTATTGCCTCAAGGGAATGCAGATAATCCTAAATGTAATAATAATAAAGTAAATGAGACTACTTCAGCAATTTCAACACATGACTACATCATAAACACTTCATCTATCCGCCTACCGTTTATTGCTGCTGGACTAGTGAATGCTGCTGTTGCAGAATTATTGAATCAGTTATCGTGTCGTTTCTTTGAAATGGCTATTATCACACCGAAAATACGCGACAGTGAAATAGAATCTCCAGTGGACGCAGTTCAAATTCAGCAAATGTCAGAAAGTCATAACAATGAGAATAATAATAGTAATAATGATAATGATAACAATAATAATCTTTCAACCCCTCCGGAATTACCAGTCACCAACGAGAATAAATTAGCATCACAAAATAAAACAGATCAGAATTCCACATTGCAACCAGTGGAAGTCAATGAAAGCCTATTCCCCGAGTCCCTTTCTTCTCCCCCTATTCCTCAGCCTCCTCCTCCTCCTGCTCCGGTATCTTCACCAACAGTATCATCATCAATCCCTTTATTCACTAATCCCAATTATCATGTAGAACCAATGAAGATTAAAGAAGAATCAGAGATGGATTTCCCATTGGATTTAAATATTGAACAGTCTGATCCAATCGATAATAGTAACGGTAGTAATAGTAGTAATAATATTGATGATTACTCAACATTACAAGAGCATGTTAATAACTTTTTGAATGATGCAATGACTGGACACTACAACCAACAACAAGAACACTGTCAACTTCAGCAGACCTCTCAATCATCGAATTTAACACATATCACTACAGTGGATTATTTAAAACGTCATCCATGTACCTATCGTGGTTGTGGTAAGGTGTTCTATAGTCGAACAAGTTTAATTTATCATAAACAAAGTCATGCGATAGATAAACCATACATGTGTACATATCCTAATTGTGGTATGACGTTTTTTAATGAAAATTTGCTGAAAACACATTGTCAACTACATGAACCAAAACAGTTGCGTGAAAGATTTTCATGTACAATGCCAGGATGTAATAAGGTGTTTGTTACACGTGAATGCCTTATTGAACATATACGTGTACATACAGGAGAAAGACCATTCATCTGTGATTATCCTGGATGTATGCATCGTTTTGCACGACGGTGTAATCTTTTCGCGCATAAACGTGTTCATTTAGATAAAAATCAACGTCGACAATACCATTGTATTCATGCTGGTTGCAATAAAACATTTTTGTATTCACGTAGTCTCACAGAACATATGAATGTTCATCTCGGTGAAAGACCATATGTTTGTGAGTATCCAGGATGTAAAAAAAGTTTTACCAGTAAGAGTTATTTATATGCACATAGACGAATCCATTTAACTAGTGTAGATAAACAATCGATAAACAATTCGACAGGTACTACTATCACTAATTCATCAACGATCAATAATAATCATAATAATCCGTCGTATGAATCGAATAATAATAATGTTCCACCAATACCAGTCACTATGACTATCCCAGTTCTTCAACCAATAATCAATTATCATCATCCATTTACACAATCGATTATTTCAAATAAACACCAACAACAACAACCAACCCTTCAATTACAACAACAACAACAATCACACCATCAAATGCTTCAACAACACCAACAACAATTACAACTACAAGGTCAGTTACAACATCATCTTTTATCGAATAGTAATAATATTAATAATAATAGTAACATTACCATGACAACGAATAACATACCAGCACATTTATTCTATCCTAATCAGCATAACTAATTTAAATTTAAATTGATCAATAATACAGGATGTAAATCGATACTTTCAGTCACGTGATAGACACAGACACACACACTCACACGCATACACCATCAACATGTACAGTTTCAGTGTAAGGAGGATTTAAATTTCACAAAGAAGAAAAATCGATAAATTTCATTCATGTGTGATAGATGCATCAGTCAGATACACGTTAACACATGTACGTACAATCCCAGTGTAATTTGCTGCAGTCGCCCCCCCCCCCCTATCGGTATACTTCGTTCTTTATTGTCATTATTGCTAATTTTTACTATTTTGAGTGAGTCCGTGTTTTTATTATTCACCGATTTCGAACGCTGATCTAATAACTTCAATGCATAATACACGCAGACATGTGCTTCATGTTTTTTCTAAGGGAACCTTGAAGTGACGTCACATATTTCTTATTTATTGATTTATTGCTTTCTTTTATTTATGATGATATAACAAGTTTGATTTCAATCATGTATAATGTATATTTGTGCAGTAATATATATATATTTCGAACAATTTGATCACGTTTCGTCTTTATGAACATCTTGAAAACTTGGATGGAGGTCATAGTTGTGTGTTTACTGTTTGTTGGTGAAGAGTTCCAGGGAAAATCAGGACGAGACAACTGTCCAGTCGAGTGCTTCATGGAGTATTCCAATAGTTAGTTTCCTAGTTGATGTCTCGTATAGTGAGTGTAAGGCCTTATCACTTTTGCGGGGTTGATAAGTGATTTGATCAGCTTTGGTAGTGCTTTGTGGATACATCACACACACACACACACTCAGTGAAAACTGCATTATATTGATTGAATGAGATGACGTTTCAAATAAAGTTTATTTTCAAGTATTGGTTTGGTAGGGATTTTGTTTAATTGCATGGAGGATTTCATCATGATCTGATATCAGTTAGAGAACCATTGGAAAACCACCTGGGAGTACTGGACAGCTAACTGTTTCATCCTAGTTTGGGATTCCTCAGCAATACGCACCCACCGGGGTTTGAACTCAAGAACTTCTGGTTACAAGGCGAGCTCGTAGATCATTGAGCCACTGGGACCCGATCCAATGGTCCTTGAATTCTAACTTCTGCCAATTCACGACATAGCGCGACCATTTCGCAATGTCTTCTTAGATGAGTTACTGCCTCATCTTCAACCTGCTGTACCCTACTGGTCACGGCTTCCCACTAGAACCCCAGGTTAACTGCCTGAATAGGGCCAGTCGCTAATGAGCATCAGATTAATTTTCAAGTATTGGCTTTGTAGGGATTTTTTGTTTAATTGCATGGAGGATTTCATCATGAGCTGACATCAGTTAGAGAACCACTGGAAAACCTGGGAGTACCGGAGAGTTGTTTCCTCCTCTTTTGGGACTCTTCATCAGTACGCGCCCACCAGAACTCGAACCCAGGACCTTCTGGTGGGAAGCCGTGACCAGTAGGGTGCAGCAGGTTGAAGATGAGGCAGTAACTCATCTAAGAAGACATTGCGAAATGGTCGCGCTATGTCGTGAATGGCAAAAGTTTATTTTGTTGAAGTAATTTGATGGGCAAAGTTCTGCAATAGCGTCCCAAGGGATGCGAACGCATGAGGGACCTTGGGCCGATCAACCAGAAAAATGAGGGAGTTTTGCACAAAAAATTACGTATATCTTCATAGAAAAGTATGAAAAAACACTAAACAGGGTATTTTTCTCTGATATGAGATGAAAAAAAATATGTTGGCAGAAGCTAGGGCAAGAGTAAACATTAGACACCAAAGTTAAATGACCTTGATTTGACTAATCAGATAGCTCAGCATTACAAATGGTTCTTAGTCATAATCGTCTTTGAAAGTGTCTCCTAGATTTGGTTTTTGACTTCTCTGTAGATAATGTGTTGATAGGGAGGAATAAAACATGCATGTGTGGAGGGATAAAAACTTTGGAAAAGTATTGCCGTGGGCTATTGATGGTTATACATTCAGATGCAGCCACTCTTATATGAGGAAGTCTGTATAAGTTGGTAAGTCGTACATAACTGGTGACTGTTTTAGACACTTTCTTCTCGAGATCAAAGCTCTCCCTTAGTAATATATTGCGTATATGCAACCAGTATCTGCTACAGCTGAGGAATAGAGAATACATTGGTTTGATTCGTCTATAACCACTTCTATGAGAATCTGGGACCAGTTTTCACAGCATATTTGAGATATATACTCTATATGATTCATTTTTATTACATATATCATAAATATACTTCTTTGTAAATTAAGTACCACTTTTCACCTAGAAGAATCTGATTGGCTGTTTCAAGGTCGTCTGAAGTTGGTGTCTATTCTTTACTGTTGCCGAAGCTAGAATTCATGGGCCATTGTATCAGGTCCCAGTGGCACAATGGTCTACGAGCTCGCCTTGTAACCAGAAGGTCCTGGGTTCAACCCCTGGTGGTGGGTGCGTACTGTGAAGAGTCCCAGGCTGGGACGAAACAGCTCTCCAGTACTCCCAGGTTTCCCAGTGGTTCTCTAACTGATGACAGCCCATGACGTAATCCTCCATCCAATAAAAATATGTCCCAATTATAATTAGGAGTGTCAGTTTTTAAATTAAACCAATTCTCCTATACATGTATTCATCTAGGTGACTAAAAATAACTTGGTTTTGAGAGGCATTTATTGCTGTTATTCTATTTTTCAATCTTTCCCAGAAACCCTCTATTGAATTAGTATGAGTGCATGTTCTGCGATCGATGAAATCATTGGAATGGTTAACTCGGTTGTGTATATATCCTAAATCCGATAATCGGTTATATCCTGCTAATTCATTCGTGTGTATAGTAGTGCCAGGCAAAACGAATCTTTGAATGATAGGCAGAAGAGTGTGGACACTCCTGTCTAGAATAAGTTCAATGAATCCTTTCTGAATTTGGGTGTCGTAAATTCTCAATGCCCAAACGTTGTTAGCTCTAGCACGTCTGCGATTGTATTTCTTCTTTATAAGTAATGTTTCGTCGATGTGAACGATAACACTGACTCCTCCCAACACTTGTGTAATATTGCTCATTTTCCATGATGCGAAATATCGACAAAATTGAAACCGCTGCACAGTAGACGTCAATATGTTTTCTGTCTGATCGGCAGTTGACCTCATTCCGGACTTAAAAACCCAGTAGCGGCAAAGAAACAGTATATTCGTCAAAGAAAGTTCCTAGAAGACAATTAACTGAGAGTGTCACTTACCATTACGAGCACTTGTTCGTTTCCTACACTCCGTACATCTAAATATATATATATCCGTCAATGACCTGTAAATACGATTGCAGGCTCATTGAAGCATCGCAGCTACATATACGAGTACCTCCTATCAATCCATTATCTAGACAGTATTTAAAAACGTGATCTGGGTGGAATTTGCACCTGAGCTCATGAACAGCGTTCATTTTCGTGCTAGAATAATCGTAAGTTTCTTCAACCAATGACTAGCATGCGTTCAAGGTCATTTGAGCGTTCGCACTCGTGGGGCGTTATTGTTGAACTTTGCCATTTGATGAATGGTGACTAGTAGTGGGATCTGTGACTCTCGTTTTGTCCTATTTGGGACTCGCCAGCTGGATATGTCTGCATTCCCCAGTGGGAACACCATCACTTATTGGGGAATGCAGGCACATCCAGCTGGTGAGTCCCAAATAAAATAAAATGCACACCCTGGATTCCACACTGCTAGTCACTGTCCACTGAATTAATTGAAGTCAATTCCTCAAATATAGTTGAAACGTCCTCACTAGGCGCCGACATATCAATAGAAGTCGGACATTGCGGCCTAATCGATCAACAGAAAAATAAAATTGAATTTAGAAAAACAACTTGTTATTGGATATCAATGAAACTAGGGTAGTAACAAGGTTGGTGATTTGTCACAAGCAGTTGTTAAAAAGGAGTTATATAGTAATATGAATGGTCTTATGATTGAGTTGTACTCAGGGTGTACATAGAAACAAAGTAGAGAATACGAAATTACGTAAGAGTTCTATATGAATACAAGAATTATAAAGAAACAAGTAAACAAACAAAGTTAAGTCATCAAAAATCAACAAAGTTGTTACCATGGTAGTAGAAGTGGTTGAGTAATTCTCTTTTGTATGCACAGCTCCGGTTTTTCTATGTGAATGGCCAGAGTTTCATAATTATATCATCAGTTATATAACTACAAATCTCTGAAATTTGAATTTGTATACTTCTCTTTATTCCTTTCCATCCATTGTAACAGAATTTTCCAGATGTCCGTGTGGATAGTCGTTGAATCATTCGTATATAGCACGCTCGAATTCTCAGTTGATTCGGTAAATAAATCTGCTGTTATAAATCTCTCTGTCTCTACCGTGTCATGTTACACTGTAAGACTGTCATCTTGTCCCAGACTGTTGTGTGTGTATGTGTGTGTGCGCAATTAGTTGCACGTAGTGCTTGCGACAACTGAGCTATTCTCCAGATTTCTTATCTTATATGTACCAGTGTGGATTTTGTTAGGTCTTTGCACTTCGTCTTAGGTCTGATTGACCTCATCTTTCCACGGTGACGTAGGTATTTGATCTGACAATCATTCCAGCAGGGTTTTAGATAAACTAAATTGTTTTGTTTAGTGGGCTCCACAGGAGTCTTTAATCGATGTAATTTGTTTCTAAATGAGTTTATGGGTGGGGGCGGGAATGTATGGTACTTTAATTCCTGCTTTGTTAAGAATTTTCCGTAAGGTTTCCGAGGTTCCTTCTTTATATGGAAGTACCACTGATGGCGTTGTCATTTGTTGTGCGCATGTTTGCCATGCGTCAATATTACTGACATTACTGTCAATATAAATTTTACTTGTACTCTTTCCCACATTTTTTTCCTTCACGTTTTCCAGTGGAACGTGGGGCTTCAAGCTAGTGGCTTGAAGTTTCTGTAGCAGTGCTTGTTTTACAGAATGGGATTGCTAGCCTCATACCCAACCTTTCCTCTTCTCCAGCATTGT